TAATTTGGGCAAATTTTAAATATAAATTTGGCAGAATTAAATTACGAGAATTATTCAAAGATTTACAAGTTACCTCAGCAAAGGATACTGTATATTCAATTCTAAGAAAGAAAGAATCAAGAAATAGACTCCCAATATCACACATCCAAAATATCTTAATCTAGTGTGTTCATGTGATCAACAGCCAATGATAAAAAATGCAAAAATAAAAAAATGAGTGTTTAGACCTTGAGGGACTAATAAAAAATATCGGGATTATTCACAAAATCAAAATTCAGACAGTTTACACCCCGATGGTGATTAACAAATCAAAACTAGTTTTCAAATCTGTCTTCACAAATCTTTCAGAATCTTCTTCTTGGGTATTAACTTTGACTTAATATTGCACTCTGAATACTTTTGTTTAAATTCATTGTAAGCAACTACGAAATTATTTTTATCAGTATTTGTATAATTATGAGTAAAATTTCTATGATACAAATAATAAACTACATATTCAAAAGTGAGTTGGTTTTTAATTCACATCATTCTTGACAAGAATGTTTGATGATCTTATGTGCATGGTTAAAAATCTATTTGTCGATCCTTGAAATTTCATTGGCTATTTATAGTAAATATTTTATATGAAAACACAATACATATGGGTGCATTTGGCATATTTGTTGATTAATTTTATGTGACAAAACCGTGATATAGTAAAAAAAACTATTTTTAGATTTAATTACAAAGCTTGTTTATTATTACCATGTGATTAAATCAGATGAAAATTGTGACAATTTAGAATAAAAACTTGTTTTTTCTTTTTTAGATCAAGCCGCTATCAAGCCACGTTTTCTAAATTAGAAAATCAGTTTATATTTATTTTTTTTATAAAAAGCAATTTTATTGGTCAATTTCAAAAATTAATGTGCAATTCGAAAATATCACACTAATGAAAATGCGTCAAATTGGCCCATAAAAGTCGTTAATGGATCTGATTATATCCGAAAGTAGCATCGACAAATAAAATTTTAAAGAAATTCTAGATATAATACAATTAAATGAATTTTTCATCATGTTAGTTTAATTAATAGAAAAATAAAATGATCAACTCAATTACAATAGACGAACTGAAAGAACAAATAAAGAGTATTATAATGTCACAAGTATCACAAGATCCTGACTGAGAAAAATAATAAATTTTATTTTCTAATTCTGAATACGAACAAGGATAGTGAAGTCAATGAAATTCAAAAATGAACAACTTATGAAAAAAATGCAGATAAACCAAAAAAGGGTATGTCTTAAAATTTTATGAAAGATCTGGAATGTTCCTGGTTATTTATTGAAAATCTAAGGGCCCTCACATGAAATTATTGTAATAATTAATTCGGAAATTGATTAATTTCGTAAATTAAAAAAAATTGTTCAGTTATATAATTAAACATCAGAGGTGTATTTTAGATTTCAAGTACTAACATTTTTTTCAATTAATACACATCTTTGTACAATAAATTCTACTGATGATTTACCATATTGCCAATGCCAAGAGGCGTTATCATTTTTAAAAATAATTGAATATAAATTTCTGAAATTCAATTGATCCAAATAATAGGTCAACGAGTTAATTTTTAGAGAACAGACTACAATAAAAATCTTTCAATTGCTAGATTGAAGTACGCAATAATATTAAAAAAAATTGTATATAAAAGTACAGTCAAAATTTATCTTTGTAGTTCGCATATCTAACTAAAGTAAATAGTAGACCTGTTTTAGTATAAAATAGCGTATCTGAAACTTGAACTTTTTATATTGGTTAAATATCAGACAAATTCTCATTAATAGAATATTTGAATCTAAAAGATTATATTATTTTAACATATAAGAAGGGTCATTGGTCCACAAAATATAAAAAATTTAGCTCTTATAAAGACAATGAAGATTCAATTTCAATTGATCTTGAATTGGGAAATCAATATTCACAAGCTAAGGGATTTAGTTTCTTTGGTGTTTATGATGGGCATGGATGTAATTTATTGATATTAAATTATAAATATAACTAATTGTTTGGTTCGCATCACTAATTTATATTCTAATACTATTAGTAGAAGGAAAGAAAGTTTCAGAAATATGTTCTGAAAAATTGTCACGTTATGTTGCTAAAAATCTTTTACAGGATTATCGTGACCAAACTAAAGTCAAAAGTGCTATCAAAAAAGGGTTTAAACAAACTGAACAAGATCTGAAATTAGGTATTATTTATTTATACAATATTGATATAGTTTATGTCTTGTCTTCATTGTTTATTTAAACTTTTGTTAGAACTATTTTCGACAAACGCGGGATCTACAGCAGTGATGGCAGTGATGATACTATTAAAAGATTTAATCATTGTAAGTTTGTGATTATAATGTCAAAATGGCAGTATAAATAAAAATTTAAATTTATTATGATTAGGTTTACGTTGGAGATTCTTCAGCTTTTATATCAAGTAATAGACTTTTTGCTAAAATTACAAAAGAACATGATTTGTATAATAAATGTAAGCTGCAAAAGATTATTCAAATATTTATTTCCATCATTTAATTATTTTTTAATATTTTCATTTAGCTGAAATTTTATGGTTGAGAACTCAAAAAAAAAATTGTGGATATTCGATCAGATTTGCACCTAATAAAAGAGAAAAATATTGGGACTGTAAATCTAATATGACTTTTAATAGCTTTATATGTATTCAGTAATATGTGATAGTGTGTCTTAAATTGTTGTCTATTTTTTGTTTAAAAAATAGTAAACAATATATCCGGTCGTGGGATACAATATACTCGATCTTTTGGTGATTTTTATATTAAAGATAAAGCTAAGAATAGTTTAATTGGCAAGTATTTTTAAAAAACTTTAATTTTTTGTCTTTAAAAAATATGGAAAATAACCACTCATAAGAAATTAGATTCTTTAATATCTTTTTTGTCATATAATAAATATGCAAGAAAAACT